AGTCAGCCCTAGGGTGGAGAGTGGTGCTGGCAAGGGCAGTATTTTGAAAATTACATATGCTGTTCTTCTGGAGCAGTATCAGAGAGACCTTCCTCATTCTGCTAAAAGCAAATAAAACTAAACAAAACAAAAACCAGGTCTCCAGGACACAACTGTAGCATCTCCAGTCCCTGGGGGAAAGGGAGGGCCATATACTTGGTGACCTAAACAAAATCACCATCCCTGGAAACCATGAGGACACAGAGCCAAGGCAGCAGGACAAGCAAGTGTATTTCCAGCAGGGGCCCAAGAAAGTCTCAGGGACAGAGGGAACAGAGGCCCTGATACCTTTCTCTTTTAAGGTTCAGCATTATCAGAATCTTTCTAGAAGGAATGAGCTATCCCTGACCAAGCACTGTTTCACCTTAAAAAGAAAGAACTTCCACAATATAAGACAACATGGATGAACCCAGGAATTTATGCTGGGAAGTAAGCTAGTCACAGAAGGACAAATACTGCATGATCTCACTTACACGAGGTATCTAAAATCATTGAGCTCATGGAAGCAAAGAACAGAATTATGGTTGCTGAGAAATGGGGGAGGGGAAGCAGGGAGCTGCTAATCAGTGTATATAAATTTCAGTTATAGAAGTTAAATGAGTTCTAGAGATCTGCGGTACAACACTGTGCCTACAGACGACAATACTGGATCATTCCATCAAAGGTTTGTTCAGAGGGTAGATGTCATGACAAGTGCTCCTTACCACAATAAAAATTCTTTAAAAGAAAGAAAGAAGGAAGGAAGGAAATGCAACATTGCAACATTCACTTCCGAATGTCCTGCCAATAAAGGAAAAGTCTTAGTTGGTGGGTTGGCTCTGGCTGGAACCTCTCAGGGCCCCACCCCCAGGGCAGCATGTCCTGCTTTGGGAAACAGCACCTACATACTGAGTATGAACGAAGTTACTCCGGCACCCAAGGATGCAGCACCTCTGCTGCTTGTGCAGAATGGCCAAGGACACGGCCACCAAACCAAGTATCCTCTGGGTTGTTCTCAACAGCGACACCATGACTCAGCACCTAAAGCTACAGGTCGGGGAGCTGGTCAGTAGCCTCATGTTTCCCTTTGCCTGGCATTGGAAGCAGAAAGGGTTTTGGAGTAGAGCTCTGTCATTCTTAGAAGAGAACAGAAGGGGGCATGCTCCAGAAGAAGATGCTAGATCTCTTGGTAATAAAGTAGAGTTGAGGTGTCCTTGTAAATTAGAAACATAAAGGAGATATGAACATATTTGAGCACCCTGAGCCAGGGCTCAAGTGCTGAGTTTATTTTGAACTACCTGAGTTTGGGGGAAAGGAGGTAAGGCGGAGATTTAAATTATGCATCTATAACAACTTACAGGAATAAAGGAATATGCCTCCTTTATGGCCAAACCCAGCCCCGACATCCTTCCAGGCACTAAGGAAAGCAACCAGAGGGACAATTGGCAAGGGAGATACCATGCTTCAGGGGAAGAATGTGTGTCTTTTAAATTTCATCACATCCTCCTCATAATACCTCTGCGTTTGCTTTTCAGTAGACAAGCTTGGAGGCCCCAACCACCCCAAGAGGAAAGGAACCAGTTGGCTTCTTTAAAAGGGAAAGGAAAAAAGAAAAGAAAGTCAAAAAGGAAGGCTAAAGTTGCATCTCCTCTGTTTGAAGACACAAGACAGACTTTGTGCAGAAGCAGCTCTGGCCCCTGGCAGGAGGAACCCGTGTGCTGCCAGTGGGAAACTATCAAGTACGGGGGAGTTTTAATGAGATGGGGCAGCTCTTTGATGGTTGCTGATGCGCAGATGCAAGCGGAGCATTTGAAAGTGTGAGCTTTCGAAGAAAACTGTTTTTAGGAAGCACCGTTTCCTCCTGCAGTCCCTTCCCTTTCGGGACACTCAAATTAGGCCTTAAATTATCCTATCTGGGATGCCTCGGTCTCTGGGTGGGTAAGCGTCGGAACGCCTGGAACATCAAAACCTGCAGAAGCCCCAGTTCTGGCAAGTACCAGCTGCTGCTCTGGGCAGTCGGCGGCGCCACAAGGGCCTCCCCGGGAGGGATGGAGGAGGGATGGAATAAAAGGCATAAAATTAAAGACGATATTAATAAAGTCTGATGAAAGAAAACACCTCTAGCCTACCCAGCAGCTTAAATTACATTTACCACATCTGACAGGGAGGAGGTGATCATGAGTAATAAGTCCAGGCCCTGGAAAGAAATCACAGGCCAAATCACTTACTGATGGGTACCAGTGGGGAAGGTGCCGATTCCCCTTCCCAGGGAAGACTCAAGGCAGGGTATAAAACCCATCAATCTTGCTGAGACAGATTTCACTCGGTAGGGTCCCTGGGTGGTCTCGGATCTGGATTTCCAGACGGCCTTGCAGTCACGTGTGCCTCCACTCCGCTGCATGGTAGCTGTGGTCACTACCTCCCCACCTTGGTGTGACCGGGTATAGTCATCATCAGGCAGGACTGTCCTGCTGCTCCCCGAGTACATTTCTGCCCCATCCGCTGAGGCCATTCTCTGCTGCTGAGGCTGTCTCAACATAAATAACTCCCAGATCCTTCCTAGCAGGTCAGTCTGAGCCCCAGAGAGCACCCAAGTCACCCTGTCATTTGCACATTCCTCCTGTTATCTCTTCCAGAATGCCCCAAGTTCCCAAATTCCCAGCTATTTCTCGCTACAGCTCAGCAAAAAAGCAATCTGACATAGAGCTAATTCACACCAATCCTCCAAGGATTCTCTATAGATTTATTTATTTATTTATTTATTTATTTATTTATTTATTTATTTAGTGAGCATGGGGAGGGACAGAGGGAGAGAGAGAATCCCCAATGGACTCTGGGGTGAGCGCAGAGCCCAACATGGGGCTTGATCCCACAACCCTGGGATCATGACCTGAGCTGAAGTCAAGAGTTGGATAATGAACCAACTGAGCCACCCAGGTGCACCAAGAGTTCTCTATTTTGAGAAGAGTAGGCCAGGTAATGCAGATGAACTGCTCACAGCAGGCTTTCAGCTTGGACAGGAGCGGTCGCAGACCTTCCTCCAGAGCTCATGTGCAAGAGGTGCATCATGAGGAGAGAAGGGAAAGGCTCCATCACCTCTCCCACCTCCCCGCTCCCATCACTGCTCCATTCCCTCCCCATACAGCTTCCTGTCTTGAGACTGCCTGGCTTGGACCCATCAGTGAACAGGATAACATCTACTGAAAAGATAAGGAGGAGCTGTATCTGTCTGGCTTTAAGCCAACAAAGATCCTGAAAACTCAGTCCTGCTCCTAGAAGAGGGATATCTTCTGCTCAGAGATGAGGGGCACCAGGAAGTTGAGTTTCAGATCCAGGGGTCTTCACAGGAGGGCTGTTCAGAATCTCTGCTCCCTCCCAACCCACTCCTACGCTTCTTCCCTGTGTCCTGCTCCTCAGCCACATTCTCTCCAGCAGGCGGTTCTTTTATTCCCTGGCTGATTGGCTTCCCCAGGTTATGGCAGGGTGAAGGACCTGCCTCTTCCTTCTAGCAAGCTGGCCCTGCTTCTAGCCCATAGCTAAGATGGTCTCAACGGAACAGAGGTCTAGGAAAGAGAATCCTTGGAGGAGAGGCATCACAGGAACACCTGACTCCTCCCAGGGCACAAATGGTCACCTACATTCTTTCTCATATAGCAAGTCACCTGCCGAAAACTTAAAAAAAAGTGGTGGCATATTACTTCCAGAAAAATCTTCAGCATGAGAGGGTTCTACAGATAATGAGGACTTTTCATTTTCTTTGGTCACTATTAGGACTAGTTTAAGAAAAGAGTGGGATGCTATTCTATCCAAGTAAAACTTCAACTGACCAGAAACTCAGGTCTCCAGAATCTCCAACAGATGACACTTCCCTCCCTTGCTCTCTGCTCTTTAGACATGGGAAGCCTATAAGCAAACAAGTATACAGTCACACCCTCATCTACTTGTCCACCTGTGAACATTTGTTGAGCACATAGGACTTTTTCAGACACAGCATTTGAAGGCTCCTGACTCTATCCTGGGGACAAAGTACACATGTTGTCAAAATAATGCCCCATCTGAACCTCCAGCCAGCAATCCAACCTGCGAGTTTGAACGCAGCACTCTCACTGCCCGAGGCTGCGAAGACTTGGGTGTCTGCTTATCAGAATCTGCTTGCTCCCATCAGCAACTGAATTCAACCCCATGTTTTAGAAGGATATATATCAAATTACTGACAGTGACAGTTGGGGGCAAGTGGAAGCAGAGTGAAGGGGACAGCTACCTAGTTCTCTACTCCTTTTTTTTTTTTAAATACAGAGAATGTGTTCATGGATTCCTTCAAAATTAAAATAAATTCCAAAAAATGGCCAAAAGGGCAATGGACTCCACTGCTTTCAACAAAAGGACCAGGCTTAGCAGGGTTTCTGCTGGGGCCTGAGATCCAGAATCATGGCTGAGCAGGAGGTTGCCCACTTTTCCTTAGCCACATGGATGACTGAATGGCCCTGAAGAGATCCAGGCATTCTGGAAGTTCACTTCAGGGCTGGACACAGCTCAGTCTCTCTCACTGGTCTCTCCCAGAATTTAGACCTTGACAGTCAAGAGCCTCCCATCTGCAGCACCACCACCACGCCCCGCCTGACTGAATTAACCCCCTGAGATTCCCAGCAGCAATTCAGAGCTTGCTGAGTGGGCACCAGTCTTCAAGCTCACCTGGCCTCAGGTGACCTTCTGTGCTTGCTTACTAAGCACCTCTCAAAGTATTCCCCAGGTTAAAGACGGGAACCTTCCCCAGCACAAAAGCCTCAGCAGCTTGGGAACAACCCTGTGCCAAATGCAGAGGTCAGTTTCTGGCCCATCCACTCCACCGCCCGCCCTCCCCTCAGCCTCCTCACTCCCACCCACCCCATAGAAACTCAGAAAACAGGAGCTCGGCCACTGAAGCAGCCGCAAAGGTTCTCCTTGCCAGCTCATTAATCACCCAGCTGCCGGTGCCCGCTTACCTGCAGATGTAATTCGTCTTGCAGGAGTCCTGCAAATTCAGGCAGTTGGGCTTCTCCCTCTCCTCATAGGAGCACACGGGCACAATGGTCTGCCGCCTCCGCTCAGTGCACGCGATGTCCCGGCAGGAGCAGAAGAGCATCCCATAGCTGTGCTTGGCCGGAACCTTGTCAAAAAACTGCCGCAGGGCCTTGTGGCACTTGCGCCGGTTGCAGACCTCGTTGGACATGCTGGTGGTGCACGGGGTGATGTAGGCAGACCTGTACTTCTTGCAGGTGTCATCGAGGTTACAAGCCTTGGCGGCGTCCAGGCAGTTGTTCCCTTTGGGAATGTGCTCCACTGCAGAGGAGAGAAAGGCAGGCGTGAGCACGTGTGGGGGGCTCGGCCGCTCACATCCTTCTGTTCTGAGGTCCAGCAGTTTCCCGGGCGATGCTGGGAGCTCTGATCAACTCTGGGTTTTGAAGCTAATAGGTAATGAGCTCATGACAAGGAGGAAAGTATAAGGAGTGCAAAGGCTAGGAGCCCGGGGCAGGCCACAAGCCCCTAGCGCTCCTTTAGATGAATAATTAGGCGGTACCGAGTGAAGCCAAAGGAGCAGAAGGAGCTCAGGCACCTGCCCGACTATATATAAACAAGGCAACAGGAAAGTAAGTTTCCAGCTCCTGGTTGGTACACTGAAATTAGGATAAAAGAAAAAAAGCAACAAATTATATACTTGTTCATTATATAGTATATAAAATGATATGCTGAATGTAAGTATAATTGCCATGCAATCCTCCAGGAATATAATTATGTAATAAATGCATATAGTACATGCTAATTACTATATGATTACAGAGTAATTACATGGTTATTTGAGCCCAGAAGACAAAATATTATGCCAGCTCTCTAAACAGGAAGAAGCAACTACAACGAAGCTGTATTTAAGTTCTAGCTCACAGGCCATTGGAAGAAAACCAGAATAAATTACATGAAAATTTGCAAACCTCAATTACCACTTAACTTGCCACATACAAAATGTGGAATCTATGCGTATTGAGGCTGCAAACTAGAAAAATTCAGCTAGGATTCTGGATAGAATTTCAATGGGCTTACAAACCATAGGCCTCAGGAATCTCACAAAACATATGTTGCCTTCTACCCAAGCTCTCTGTGCTCATGCTCAGAGAAAACAGGGCTGTCCACTGCCAAGCTGCTCACTGTGTGGCCCGGAGAGAGAGCATAGGGGAGGCAGGGCCCACTGCAGCAGCCAAGTGGATTGGCAGGGCCAGGCCCAATGCACAAAGTTAAAAGATGAAAAAAAAAAGGTAAATGTGGCTTGACCTCACAACACAGGTGTTTTCACAGGGAGAGAAGTGATGGAAAAAGCTTCTAGGGCCAGGTTATAAGGTGATCCTTGGAAAACTATCATTAAGTGTAGCAGTGACTCTCTAGACACAGCAAAGAGGCAGCAGATAACACCACTCAATTGTAGCATTTGTCCTCCCCCTACCCTGCCACTAAGTTCCTGCTCAGCCCTCAGCCCGTGCTTGGGTTCTGGAACCCCCTTGCATTCTCTTTGTGCCCCAGCTGGTGGGGGCCATGAAGGCAGTTGGGAAATTACAAGATGCTAGAGAACCAATAAGAGAGGAGAGAACGTCCAAGTGGGCTGGGTGGGTCCAAAAGTCAGGGTAGTCATTTAGTGTACATCCGAAGGGCACATGGAATATTATTCAACCTTAAACAAAGAAGGAAATCCTGCCCTAGGTGTGACAATAGGGATAAACCTTGAGGACATTATACTAAGTGAAATAAACCAGTCACAGGAGGACAACCACTATATGATTCCAATTACATGAGGTTTCTAAAAAATTCAAGATCAGAGAAACAGACAGTAGAATGCTAATGGCTGGAGGAGGCGGACGTGGGAAGTTGCTGTTCAAGGTGCATCAAGCTTTAGTTATGCAAGATGAGTAAGTCCTAGAAATCTGCTGTACAATATCATGCCTAGAGTTAGCAGTACTGTATTGTACACTTAAAAATCCATTAAGAGGGTAAATCTCATGTTGAATGTTCTCACTACAATTTTTTCCAAAAAAAATGTAAATAAGTAAAGAGCACCTAAAGCAAGTCTTACATTTCAGGGAAAGAAAAAAGACTTTCTGTTTTACTGATGATGTGTCTTGCTTTAAGAAAGCCCAGTATGCAAAAGTCTGAAATCACAAAATTATACCCTGGCACCACGAGCAATACCGTTATGCCTCAGGTTCATGTTTCTGCGATGACATCTGAATCTAACAATTTAATGTGAAAGGCAATAAACAAGACATTCGGCCCTTCCTCTGTGAGCAGTACAAGAAGCCAGCGGCTGCACATATATCCCTGCTGGTTTAACAAGCACACCTGGTGCATTTTCTCCACTGTGACCTTCCCAGACCAGCTTCTCACTGGCTCCTCTGTGTCACACTCATGCTCCTCAGGACTCAAGAAATGAAATATTCACTGTGTGCTCTGACAGGATCGCCAGGGCCTAGAGGCCTTGGTAACACATCTGGTCTTTTCTTCTTTTGAGACTTTTAATGTGTTGTTGGGTCCATCAGCAAATAGTGATTATATTCTTGAAGGTCTAGAGGTCCATAGAAAATTTACAAACTATGCATTTCTAATGACAATCTACAATAATTTAATGACCAAATTCTGGATCATCTGGATTAGGCCCTGCAGGCTACATATTTGGGACATAGTTTTACTGCCTACATTTATACTTGTTCTGGTATTGAATGGTGCTTTACAATCTCTATCTAAGAAGAAAAGAATAGAGGTGCAGAGGTGCACTTAATAGTTAAATGACGTAACCAATGATATATGAACGGAAGTTTGAATGCAAATGGCATTCAAATGGCAGAAGAATCAAGTTATCACATGATACCCAGTAACATAGGCCTGCTCAACTCAAAACAACTCCTACTGAAACAGGAGTGTATTCCAACTGTAAGCACCAATTTAGCTTCAGAAAAATAGTATTAGTCCTTCCATTAAATTAATGTGCACTTCATTGTTTTCAAACTTCTGTTCATGTTTAATTTGTGCGTGTTTTTTTATAGTTGTGTAAAATTACAAAATAAAAGTTTATAGTTCCATGTTCATAAGTGTCAAAATTATAACAAAAATAATAAAAACACATAAGGTCCAGAAAATTTATTTCTCTCCTTTTTTTAAAAAAAAAGATTTATTTATTCATGAGAGACACAGAGAGAGAGAAAGGCAGAGACACAGGCAGAGGGAGAAGCAGGCTCCATACAGGGAGCCTGACATGGGACTCGATCCCGGGGCTCCAGGATCAGGCCCTGGGCTGAAGGTGGCACTAAACCACTGAGCCACCCTGGCTGCCCTGTTTCTCTCTTAAAGCAGTCTGTGTAACACCTAAGTTTTAAAAAAAATAGGCCTAGAGAGAAGCTCCTTGACGTGGGTCTTGGCAATGAATTTCTGGATATGACACAAGCAACATCATCAAAAATAAACAAATGGGATGACATCAAACTAAAAAGCTTCTGCAAAGCAAAGGAAACCAATAATACCATGAAAGGCAGCCTATGAAATGAGTGAAAATATTTGCAAATCATATATTTTATAAGTCGTTAATATCCAAAATATATAAATAACTCTTACACTTCAGTAGCATCATCATCATCATCATAATTCCATTTAAAAATGAGCAAAGAGCCTAAATAGACATTTTCCCAAAGAAGATATTCCAATGGCCAACAGGTACTTGAAGAGCTGCTCAATGTCACTAATCATTAAGGAAATGGGTATCAAAAACACAATGAGGTATCACTGCACAACTGTTAGAATGGCTAATATCAAGACAAGAAATAACAAATTCTGGTGAAGATGTAAATAAAAAGGAACCCTGGGCACTGTAGGTAGGACTGTAAATTGGCACAACCTTGAAAGACAGTGTGGTATTTCCTTGAAAAATTAAAAATAAAACTATCATTTTATACAGCAACTCTACTTCTAGGCATCTGAAGGAAACAAAATCATTATGGCGATGAGGTATCTGAACCCCTATTTTCACTGCAACGTTATTTATAATAGCTAAGACATGGGAACAACCTAAGTATCTGTCAATAGATGAATGGGTAAAGAAAACGTGGTTTTCTTTCTTTAACAGTATTCCACAATGGAATACTATTCAGCTATAAAAAAGGAAATCCTGCCCTGTGAAGTAAAATAAGTCAGAGAGAGAAAGACAAATACAGTATGATCTCACTTTTATGTGGCAACAAACAAAAACACACCACCACCAAAACAAAACAAAACAAAACAAAACACAGCTTTGTAGTTACCAAAGGCAGGAGAAGATGAACTGAATGAAGATAGTCAAATGGTACAAACTTCCATTTATAAGATAAACAAGTAATGGGAAATGTCAGCATGATAACTATAGTTAACCAATGGTCTACGTTATATTTGAAAATCGCTAAGAAAGTAAATCCTAAAAGTTCTCATCACACACACACAGACATTTCTCTTCTTTTTTTGTGTGTGTTCCTATACGAGGTAACAGATGTTAACTAAACTTGGGATCATCAATTCGCAATATACATAAGTCATTACACCATACACTTCAAATTTATACAGCTCTGTATGTTAATTTATCTTAAGAAAACAAAAAGAAAAAAATGGTCCAGTGTATGCCTGCTTTATTATAATAATGTCAGCTTCCTTTTTAAAGTTGTTAAAATTATATAAACTACTATTTTTTCTTACTATTATCAAAAAAGCGGTATTTCAAAGGAAAAGCTCTCTACAAAGTGGGAATAGACTGAATCATTTTATGTCCAAACCAACTGCTTAAAGTTTACTTCATTTAGTAACTGCTGTGACTCAAACTCATTTTCAGCTGATTCTGTTTTCCTTGATATATAACCCTGCCAGTGCACCATCTCTACCATTATTTCAGAGGCTGTGACAAATTCCAGAATGCACACCTGGAACATTCAGAGAGGAAAAAAAAAAAAACAAAACCAAAAAACTATGAATTGATGTCTAGGTCACAGGTCAGTGTGCTTTTTGTTTTTGATTCTCATTTACATAACATATTCTCATGACCCTTTTTCCAACTTGATATGTAAGGCCAGTCTTACCCAAATAGCAGAACCTGATAAAGACAAAAAAATAAAATTACAGAACAATATTTCTTAAGAGTCAAAATGTTCAGTAGATAGTATTTAACAATATGTTAAAAGGACAATGTACCAAAACCAGCTTGGGTTTATCCCCAAATGCAAGGCTGGTTTAACATTTAAAAATTAATGCAATTTACCATATAAACAGACAGGAAGAAAACCATA